TTAGGATGATTCTTAGAATGATTTTTAGAATGATTAGCTGTTTAGTTTTGTTTTTTTGTTGACTGAAAACCCTCAAATTAACAGTCTCTTAAAACTAGAATAAGATGTATACCCATAACAAATTAGTGTTAATTGCACTTAAAAAATACAGCATTAAAGTTTGCTGACAAACCTTTTCTAGGACCAAAAATCTAACGTTTTACATTGTAACGAATTTACAGGATAAACCATTCCACTTGCCTCATTGTTTTCTGCCTCTATGCCTATTTTGCTATGCAAAAGCTTTATGTCAATTTACTTTTTGAGCCGTTTAAGACCAAACCAAATTATTCCTTCAGAACATTTTAAACAATCCCTTAAAGACCTCTTTTTCTTGGCTATGTTTCCAATCTTGGCTTATCACTGTAATATTTCATGCTCCATGCTTCTGAAAAAATTCAATATTCAAGAACAAAGTAATCCAGAGCTTTACTTCATTTCAGTCTTTTTATGTCCTAGGGCTGTCCCAACTCAATGACCCAGTTTTTATTGTGTCACATCTGTCTGTGCTGACTGCAACCTGCTTGCCTAAGCCTTTTCCTGTCCCTTATCAGTTTTCCCTTAATTAAAAAAAAAATTTTTTTTTTTAAATTCTTTGCACTTCTCCTTTCACAGCTTTTAGTTTTTTTCCTCCTTAGGAGACTCTGTTCCTGTGGTAGCTACTCAGAAACACAAAGATGAGTGGGTGACTAAGGTCTCTCTTTCCTTGACAAAATTTTCATTGCAATACCTTTAGAATTACAGAAAGTGGATATTATAATTTGGCAATATGCATCAAGAGTCCTCAAAAATGTTCACACCCCATGATCCAGCAGTTTCACTTCTGAGACTCTAGCTTACTAATTAAAAAGAATCATCTAAGATATGGAAAAAAGCTGTATACATGAGATGTTCATTACAATGTTATGTATTGTTGGGGAGTTCTTTTGCTTGGTCTAATAATTAAATTGATGCAAACAGATTAATAGGAAGAAAAAAAACCCATTTTAATTCATATGCACGGAGGTCTCATAAAAATGGAATCCTCGAGGTGAACAAAGCAGGCTGTTTATATATCATTTTTAGACAAGGAAACAATTATTTGTGAAGATTTAACAAAGGGGCTTGTGCTTGGGGTAGCAGACTAATGAAGAGGTAACAAAGTTTGTCTACAGAGTTTTCTTAGCCTTGAATTTCCTAACTCTGGTGATAAGGATGCTTTCTATCCTCCTGGTATAAGGAGGATACTTTCACATGGGAGATTATTTCCTGCTTTCATGGGGAAAGAGGGGGTTAGAGTGTTTTTCTATATCATTTTTTCTCCACTGGCTTAAATTCAAACTAATCAGTATGTCATTGTAGCATATCTTGGGGCAGCCTGCTCTGAGGCCCAACAGTATACATGCAAAAGAAGAAAACAACCCAAATATCCAACAATAGGAGAGAGGTTTAATAAATTACTGTCTATCTGCTTGATGGAATATTGTGCAATCATTTAAGATAATGGTCATGTTGACTATGTAGAAAGATAGGTAAAAAATTATAATGTTTTCAGAAAAGCAGGGTGCAAAGTCGTAAGTGCTGGTGGTCACAGCTATGTTTTAAAAAGCATTTACAACAGGAAAACTGCAAGGAAAGAGGACATTTGCTAATACTTGTTATTTTAGGGTATAGAATTATAGATGATTTTTCTTTCCTTTACTCTCAAAATCTTGATTCAAATTCTTTTAAAATTCAAGTTTTTGAAAACTATAGTCTTCACAGATGCAAATTAAGAACTATTCAGATATGCCACATCAAATACAATTTATAAAAGACTGTTTCAGATAGAGCTCTATTTAAGTCTAATAATAATCTAACAATGCCCAGGGGATGGGGGTGGATAAGATAGTGAGTACGTCATTTTGTTTACCATTGTGTGTAATCCCCAAAAAGATACATTAGAAAAAAAAATTTTAATACCTATTTTAAAATATAAAATAAAATTATTAAAAAAAATCTTAATAGGTTCTACTCAAATTTATTTCACTGCCACTGACTTTATCCAGGCTAGTTTGTTCTCTCCAAAGTTGCTTCATCAAGTTCTACCTCTAGCCCAACCCTTATAGTACATTTCCCACACTGTTTTCAGAGAAATCTTTCTGAAACCTAAATGTATGTGATATTTCACTGTTTAAACTATTCAGGGATTCAGAATATTAGAGTCTTTAGCTTACTAGCTCCTCCCAAGCTTCTCTATCTTATTCTGTGTCCTTTCTTCTCATGCACCCTTCCCACCAGTTTTATCAAACTACATGTAATATCTGAAACAGTACTCAGAGTCACTATTGCTTCTGTCTCTTAATACTGAAACTAACACTTAATACTAGCTCAGTCTTCAAATCCCAAAGTGGTTACTTTCTTTGGGAAGCCTTCCCAGATTCCTCATCTTTTATGTATTCTCTGTAATCCTACAGTGCTATCCCTGATTTGCCCATCTGCTTTTTCCACCAGACAGTAAACGTCTTGTTATTGTGTGCACGGGCAAGCGCAAGTGAGTGTGTATGAGCAAGTGTGTTTAACAGCACTCCCTGCCCCTCCTGCCCCATGTCCCTTCCCTGTGCTCTGACAATGAGAGGAATAGTGATTGCTAAATGGTGTTGATGAAGGGCTAGTGTGCTAATCCTGGACACCAAGTGCTAGGAAAAAAGAGAGGAGATGCACTGGAAGCCAAGGACTGTTAGCTGTCAGGTACTTATTAGGTAGAAACTCATTCACTGCACCTCCTTGATGAAGTTAGACTTTACTTCCAACGTTGTACCCCTGAGAACAGGGAGCACATTTATGTGTCTATGAACTCTCCACTCTTCCTTGTACATACTAGGCATTCAAACATATGTTGATTAAAATCCAATTTTTATAAATCATTCTGATTTACAGAAATTCACATCCACCTTGTCTATAATTAGGAAAAAACCCCAGAAAAAAAAAATGTGAAAGACAAAGTGTTTGTGAAGCTCAACGTCCTAACTAGAAAACTTCAGAACAGTGCTGTGAACCCTGAAGAGGAAGATGTAACTGGAATTAAGGATGGGCAAACTTATTCAAATAAAATGAAAATAAGGACTGCCTAAACTCCAAATGTGCTGACATGGAAATATCTATCTCGATTTTCGTATGCTTACATAGGGAACCAGCTATACTCCAAAAGAAAATATTTGTTCAGCCTAACACAAAATCATGGTTTTATTGTTTAGACAAAAAACAAATAAATCCATGTTCTCAATGCATTTTCTTAGTTTCTTTTTTCCCCATCCTTATTATATCTGTATTTTAAGCAATATGGCTATTAGAGCAAAATTTTTTTAAAATTTTAATAAATTGAATACATTTTCCCCCAATTTTTATCGTTGTTAAAATTTTTGATTATCACTCAACATTTTAGTGATTACTCTTTTAACCTTAAAGTTTAAATGTTTCAGAGGCTCTGATATTTAAAATAAAACTCTGGAAACAACTATTAAATAGAAAATTCTTTCTTCATCATCCCCTTAATTTATCTGCTATGTAGATTTAGTGTTCTTATTTTATATTTTCTTATAAACTCACCCATCTATTCCTATCTGGAAACAAATGCAACAAATATGTTTTAGTAAACTATCCAAACAGAATTCTATTTTGAATTTCAAATTATTGGAATATACCTAGTGACAGCTTTGGTATAGGGGAAAGGCTAATCAGCCAGTGCATGGGGGTAGAAAAATTTGACTGAACTTTATATATAATAATAGAAAGAGCATAAATAGACTGGTGAGGTGTGATTAAGAGTGGGAAATAAAAAAATTTTCAAAAATTAAGCAATATAAGAATGTATAAGGCACAGCATGGAAATCCTAAAATAAGCATGAATTACAGAACAGGAAGATTAGAAAGAATGATTTTTAAGGTAGCTACAACTATCTCTCAGTAAAATACATTACTTATAAAGGCACATTTCCCTATAGGACAGAAAACATTATATCCCTTAAGACAATCCAACAGTCACTTAAAAATAATGTTCAGATACACCCAAGCAAACTCTGTAATAAAAATAACAAACCCACAGCCCAAAAGAACTGTACAAGACAGGAATGATTCCTATAGATACTTTAACATAAATATTTTATACCTTATTGTAAAGACATTTTACACACCACTGCCATAAATACCAAACACGGTTTTATTTATCTACTTATTTATTTTTTTGAAAGATTTTTTTTGATGTGGACCATTTTTAAAGTCTTTATTGAATTTGTTACAATATTGCTTCTGTTTCATGTTTTGGTTTTTTGGCCGTGAGGCATGTGGGATCTTAGCTCCCCGACCAGGGATCAAACCGGCATCCCCTGCACTGGAAGGCAAAGTCTTAACCACCAAACTGCCAGGGAAGTCCCTGAACACGGTTTTATGAAAGTAACAATTTTAGAATAAAAACATTTCCTAAATAGCATGATAATCCACCTGTTTTCTTCTTAACCTTAGTATAACAGCTAAGACCCTAGCAGACATGAAAATTTGGTGTCTTAGTTTACAAATGTAGTCTAATACATCGGAGTACTGACAAGCATTTCCACATGCTTCAGACATACTGCCAACACACAGATAGCCAACAAGATTAAAAGAAATATACACATTTCTAGTTATAGGTACTAACTAGAAATATTACAGTAAAGATGTAATGCCACCAATACAGGTTTTTACACACCTGAAAAAGTCAACAACAACAAAAAGTTTCAGATATTTGACATCAGGTAGACAACACGTAGGCTTTAGGGTTGATTTACTGCTTTCATGTGATGTGCAAATAGTCTTATCATTGCCCCCAACCTTGGAATTTCAGAGCCAGAGAGCATACAGTTCAAAACACTTGCTTTATCCTTTTTCTCGTGCTAGCCCTCTGGTGTTTCCCTAATTCCTGCAGTTTTCCAGAATGATCTTTCAGATTTTCACTCAACAGCACTCGGTCAAATCTCTTCTATACAGGATCTCACTCTTCTCATGTCTCCTCTGCTCACAGAGAGCCGGTCAAAGTCTTGCAGGTGGAAACGAGTTGCCAACTGATTTACCATTTTCCTTAGGGTAAGAAATGCTGAAACAACTTGGAAAGTAAGGAATATAGTGAAGATGATATGTACTGCTTTTTCCAAGGGCAGATTCGTTAGGCCTTCATTAAAGAGCAAGAATAGAATTAAAGGCAACTGCAATAGAAGGCTCAAAAGCCAAAAGCCAGCCAGCTCAGGAACCTGCAATGACACACATGATGAGTATCAGATCAGTGAAGTACAGTCTTCTGTTTGTTATCAATAAGCAAGTGATACTACTTGATGGCTCTACTGTGAACGTACATTTTGAGCTCTGTAAATCAAAAGGAGTACAACATGGTCCTGGTCCTCAGAAAACTTACAGTCTAGACTGGAAGAGAAAACTTACTTATGGGACAGTCCTAGAATACTACAGTGAATAATGAAATGCACCACTTAGCATTATAGACTAAATGCTACAAGAAATAAGACAAGAGGGTAAGTAGGGTAGGTAAAAGATAGAATTCAAGGAGGTAGGCTTTTAAAGTTGGGTAGAAGGAGGAAGAGGCAAGAACTTAAGTAAGCGAAGATGTGGAATGAGTATGACTGGGAAACAACACATCACCTGGAATGGTTGCTTGGATTAGGAAAAAGCAAGAAATACAGTGCAACAGGCTGGGACAGGCCCTTATGAAGGGCCTGAAGGAACACAGAAATCTTTAGGGATTATCCCTAAATTCTGGTAACTGTAAATGCTTAGGCAGCATGATGATTCAGAAAACATGAGCCTTGCAGAGGAAATGAGTTTATCATTTTCCCCCATTCTCTTATTCAGGATCTAAATAATCACGTTTAATTGACCAAGTATTTTCAAGACTGGTGAGAAGAGGGAAAACTATCACTTCTTAAGTGTTTACTATGTTCAGGTACTTTATATAAATTACTTAATCCTAACAAACCTGTGAAGTAAATATTTCCCCCATTTTATACGTGAAGAAACCAAGGCTCAAGAGATTAAGCAAACAGACCACAGTGACAGATGTGGTGAAGTTGGAGCTAGGCCTTAACTACAGGCCTTTGCTCCTTCCACCACATCTCACTGCCTTTTCCTTGTTAGGAAAATCTTACTGCATTTATGGGTAGCACTGAGAGAAAGGAAAGAAGAGCCTACCTTCTCCTGCAGGTTCCCCATGTAGCCCAGATACAACCTGATCGCTTCAATTAAGGTTATTAGGATGATAACGGTGACCACAATGAATTTGTAGTAATCAGGCAAGACTGAATACTAAAAAAACAAAAATAAACATGTTCATAAAATCTCACATATAGTAAGACTGACCTGAGATTAAAAAAAAATATGAAGAACTTTAATTTTATTGACAATGTAACAAGGGACGGCAGAAGAGACCTCAGCAGAAATAGTAAAGTGTAGATTTACCTTCATCTGAAGCATCATAATGCTGCTCACCCACCAAAGTGGGAAAAAATAAGTGTTAAAATAAAGTGACATCTGCAATGCCAAACTGGAAACCATTTCATTATCTACGGAAGAAAGAGAGAGAAATGGAACAAACTCTTAACCCTGGTCTCTGCCCTATACGTCCTTTAGTTCCTTAGAATTAATAACCATAGCAGCAGCTTAACGAAACTCCAAATTTTAAGCCTATTTATAATCATTGACAGTGAAAGGAAATAGTCATCATAATACTATTTAGTTCCTATGTTGGCTACTTGGGGGTATGTTTCACATTTTTCAATTACTTTATCATTTTCCTATTATGGTCTGCTGACTTTTTTGCATACAACTGGTATAAATTAAATGTGGAATATCAATATGAATCCTATTGAACAGATAACAATAATAATCATTACCTCCTTTGTAGAGTTCTGTGTAAAGAGCCTATGAAATGAACACATAAAATACATAACAACTAATCTCTCACATATAAACTAATCTCATGCAAAATCTAATCTCCCCAAATTATAATTAAACAGACACCCCTTTTCAGCATATCCTAATCCTACCTGTTCATTCATATCCAATTCAATGCCACTTTTTCCATAAATCCTTTCTTGATCCCATTCCCCCACTCCAGCAGAAATCTCTTTCCCCTCTAGGTACTTATCACTCTAATCTGTGTGTAAGAAGTGTTAGCAAAGAGCCACACTCCCCTCACTTGAGACACAATCTGGTTACTGAAGAGACAATGAGCTCTGGAGTCCAAGTAAACCCGGAACTCCCCAAACTCCCTCAGAACTCTAGATGCCAGACTTGGACTAAATTATTTAACCTCTTTGAGCCTTAATTTATTCACCTGTAAAACAGTAACATTAAAATTACCTCACAGGTTGCTTGTGAAGATTAAAGATAATATAAATTACTTCACCCTAGCACTATGCCTGGCACTTAGTAGGCACTCAATAAATATGAGTCCTTTTTCCTTCTCTTTTACTTATACACAGGCTCATTGTAAGCACAGACCACGTTCTACCCAAATTTGAGGCCCTCATAGAACCTAGCATCTTGCTTTACACATGGAAAATAACAAATATGCATAAGCAGAAAGAATGAATTCATTAATGAATGAATGAAAACATACTATTATAAGGGCATTACCAGTGTAGCCATTCATGATACATGAGTTTCATTTATCTAAGGCTGATTACATAGTACCTTTTGCTTTCATATAAGGGAGAAGGGTCCTAAATTAAGAATTTGATTTTTAAAATTGGGCCCTACAAATGCATCCTAAATTTGACTAAATTCCAACAATTTAAGAGCAGGTATATATTTTGAAATCCACTGCTCTAAATGAAAGAATTTACAAAGGCTCTAAAATAAATATTTTTTAAAATTAATTTATTTATGTATTTTTGGCTGTGTTGGGTCTTCGTTGCTGTGTGCGGGCTTTCTCTAGTTGTGGCTAGAGGGGGCTACTCTTGGTTGCGGTGTGTAGGCTTCTGATTGCGGTGGCTTCTCTTGTTGCAGAGCTCTCGCTCTAGGCGCGTGGGCTTCAGTAGCTGTGGCACACAGGCTCAGTAGTTGTGGTTCGTGGGCTCTAGAGCACAGGCTCAGTAGTTGTGGCACACAGGCTTAGCTGCTCCGTGGCATGTGGGATCTTCCTGGACCAGGGCTCGAACCTGTGTCCCCTGCATTGGCAGGCAGATTTAATCACTGTGCCACCAGGGAAGCCCCTAAAATAAATTTCTTAAAAACAGATTTTTATGTCTTTTTCTCCGCATCTGAGTATTTTATATCTATCATTTAACAGTTTTAAAATATAAGATAGTCATGGTCTCTCACAGCCAGGTTTTTCCTTTAGCTCCAAGAATATCCCTGATTATTATGTCTACTTTTGCTTGCACCCATTTATTAAATTACCACTGATAAAGGAATGCATTCTTACAGTCTGTTAAATCTGAAGGTAACTCACTTGCCTAGGATTTTCTCATAACAATAGTACAACTCTTGGTCAGCTGCGGTCATAATACACGCTTGCAATTACAGTACAAATAATCAAACCTAATTCAGATCCACAAGGAAGAAAATGTGGAAAAATAGTGATAAATTAGTTAAGCTGAAAATTTTAATACCTTTAGAGCAAACACTGTCATCAAATTTTGTGAAGAAGTTAAGAATTTTGTACATGAGCATCTTAAGAGTTATGCTATGTCTGTATTTCAGCAGATCAAACTTACCATCATGCAGTTGAAAATCAAGTTAATATGTAAATTAACCTTGAAAGCACAAGACATGAATTTACTAAATTCTGCAAAAGTACAAGTTGACTTCTGTAAACGGAATTTAAATTAAAACATTATGTAATATAAATCAGGGGTGGGCAAACTACCAGCCAGCTGCCTGTTTTTGTATAGCAAGTGAGCTAAAAATGTTTTTTCACATTTTTAAATGGTTGAGGAAAAAAATGAAAGAATAATAATATTTTGTGACACTGAAAATCATGAAATTCAAACTTTAGTGTCCATAAATAAAGTTTTATTGGAACACTGCCATGTCTATTCAATTACCATTACCTATGACTGCCACAGAGACCTACGGCCTGCAAGGTCTAAAATATTTACTATCTGGCCCTTTACAGAAAACCCCTGATACTTTATATCATCAGATTTTAGTGCCTTGGCTTTAGAATCAAAAACATAATAACCTAATTTTTCACATTATGTTTTTCTCTGTACATCTTAAATCAAGACCAGGCCTAAATTGAGAGGACAGGCAAGTAATCAGGGTGAAAAATTGAAACGATGGGAAATGACTTTTCTTTGCCCCCTTTAAAAAATCCCTAAACCAAGCAAGAGGAAAAGATTTCTATTTCCCAGCACAGTTCAGTGATAAAAGCTGCGTGGGTTTGGTTGACAGTATGTTGTCTATCATGATTTAAGAGAGGGAAACTGTTTTGCAGAAAACTGCGTTGTCACTTGTCAGGTTGGATGTAGCATCGTGGTATTTTGTTACTTGATTTAGGGCAAGAAGTATAAATAGGGGATGGGAAGGAGAAGGCAGGGAGAGTGCGAGTTTTGTTGAAGGCGTTGCTAGAGTGGCAGGTGCCACTCTGTACTGGATAGCGTTTAAAATAAAATTTCTTTCCATGTCTTCTGCCAGAAAATGGACTTGTGGTGGAAAGTACTTGTTCTGCTAGGAAAGGAGAAAAGGAAAAGATATTTTACTGGGGTAGGGGATAGTAAGTGGAAAGAAGGGATTGCCTGGGCTGTTTCCACTCCACCCTGGCCAGAAAAGCCAGGGCGAATGCCGTAGAGGAAAAGCAAAGTCGGCCTTCTCAGTCTTCTCGGAGGGCAAGGGACCGGACGCGGGCTGCGAAGGCGGCTTTTATATTCTTTTTTGAGGAAGGCCGGCGCCACCTCAGCCGCCCCGCTTGCAATTCGCCGGCCAGGTCGCAGCACTATCAACCCGGAAACCGCTGGGTCACGGGGCCGGGGTATCTGGTCCCCATCTCAGCCCCATCCCTCGGCCTGGCCCCTCCTCCAAGGAGCTTCCCGCACTGCGGAGAACCACCTGAAGGCGAAACCGCCATCTTAGGTCTGGGCAAAATCTGGCCGCTCCAAAACTCGCGCCAGGTCTTCCGAGGGCCACACGTCTTGTGCTGGGCCTCTGCCACTCACCCGGACCCTCGTTATACTCCGGCCCGGTCCGGCTGGAGTCACTGAACACGGTCCGGCTGAAGTTTCCCAGCCTCTGGCGGACCGGGTCTGGCAGCTCCATGCTCTGGCCTTGGTACTGCTCACTGCTGCGTCTTCGGGCGCTGTGGTGCTCTGAGGTTCCCACGGCAACCGGGAGGCGAGGGCGCTGGGGGCCCGGGCGCACGCGCGGCCGCACTGCACGGCCGAGGCGTGGGGCTCCCTGGAAGGGAGAGGAGTGCGGGGGAGCCCGTTCCTG